CTAATTGTGTAATAATTAACCATAAAGTATATTTTCCAACTGACCTATTGTCTCTATTGACTCTCTCTCACACACACACACACACACACCAACACACACACCACCATTGTTGAACAAACGTATTGGAGACTAATATGCCAGTGTTGCTTTTTATAGTACCTGGCCATCGCCTGCGACGGACAAAGTCCTTCATCGTTTTATAGCCGTGATATGACCTGTGCGGTGAGATGGGGAAGAGGAAGGAACAAAAACAGAAATAAGTGAAGGTCATGACTATGAGGGCAGCATAATTTGAACCAACAGACACAGCAGGTGTGTTTGAGGAATTGCAAATGAAACGTACGCCGGAAAATCAGCTGCATATTGCCAACCTTCTCTGTCTGTCCCCAGAGACACTGTAGTCGATGGCCCAGTCAGACACCTGAAAACGGCACATATGGAAGTGAAACAGGGTAAAAAACATCTGATTTTAACTACACACCTTTTCCCATGATAATTCAAGACCCAATATTTATAGTATCAAATAAAGTTAACTGAGAACAGAACTGGTTTCAAATCACGACAGGGTGTTTCCATGAGAGTGTGTGTTTGTGTGTGTGTTGTGTGTGTGTGTGTGTTAGCTTACCCATGTCCACCTGAGGTGAGGGAGGTTTGGTATTTGTTTTTTGTGCACTCATGGAGTCCTGATGCATCACTCCACATGTAGCGGTCGTGGGAGACCTCTGAAGAAAAGCAAACACACCTGACTTAATCAACTGATCAAAACAACATGTGCGTTCAATATGTTGATTTGTTGGTAAAGGTTTAGATGTTATGGGGAATAATGAAATGTAAAATGTCTCCCAGTGAATAGCTGTAACAGGTAGTTTTACACTAAACCTATGTCAGATTTTCTTTAAGTGTGAACAATAAAAGCTGAAACACCTGAACAGTGTAAATATCAGTCGGCCATATTAGCCTGGAAATTTCTGTGTTGAGAAAAATACAATTACGCTACAAAACAAATCACTGGAAATATTTCAGCAACATTTTCTTCTGACAAAAATAGCAGGTGGGAAAAGAAACTCCCCTCTTCTTCTCAGCGGTATCTGGAGCGCGTGCTCTACCGTGTGGTGTAGCTGTGACGGGTGCACTCTGGTTCTCATAGATGTAAAAACCGGGCTTTTCTTGACATCAGTCTGTGTGTAGATGTTATCTGTGCTGCTGGCCAGTCCCTGGAAGAAGCCCCTCCGTAGCCCCCGGTGTAGACCCAAGCGGTGTGGTCAAAGCCAACCCCCCACGCTATCCACGCGTTTACACTCCACCACACGCATGTGACTCCAACCTGCCGCCAGAACCTGCACAAAATAAAAGTGGTTAAGCTAGAGACGGGAAACTCATTTCCTTTTTTATCAGGAGGTCTTATTTTCTTTCTCCTGCACCCGAGCGGTGTCTGGCTAATTCTTACATTTGGTCGCAGGGTGTCGGGTAAGGCATGGCCTCCAGACTAGGAGAGGGCTCACTGACAAAGACGTCTCCTTTACAGGTGATGGACCAGATGGCCTGTTTGGAGGGAGGACCCTGGATCCCTCTGGAGTCGCAGCATGACACACTCAGCAATGCCAGCTGGGAGAGAGACAAATGTAGAAGTGATAAGAAGAGACGGAAAGAAGGCGAGAAAAGGGAAATGGTAGAAATGAGTGTGGCGAATCACACTTCAGCAGACAGAACAGCCCAAAAATATAGTGCCTTTCTTTTCTCTCTAATTGATGGCGTTATATTGATCAATAAGAGTGGAAATCTCCACCTATGATTGCTATGTATTTATAAAATGAGTGTTATTTCAGTTTCAGATGAAACCTTTTTTCCCCCAGGTGAGAATCCAACATACAAGAGCAATCGCGCTGTGTAGTGGCGTTACAATACCCAGTCGTGCATTTCCAGCTCAGTGGCTGCTGCCAATCTGATCGCCACCTCTGTTTGGTCCGCTCAGGGTGTAGATGGCAAAAGTGTGTTTGGAGTCATTTAGCACAGGAACTGGATGGTGACCTCATTGATGAAGGCATGCAGGTATGGGGAGAGTGACAGCAGCGATGGAGGAAAAGAAAAAAAGTAGAGATACAGTTAAAAATAGTAAATAGAGGAAGAAAGAAGACAAAGAAAACGGTGGTGACTGCAAGAGAGCAACAGCAGTACCGATCCATTTGAATGAGTGACTCTATTTTCAGACGGTATCTGTTGTGTTAACATGCGCAGACATTTCGAGACTGACGATAACACTCCTCCACCTCCCTCATGAAGGCATGAGTCCCCCACATGAATGTATCGAGAACACAACAACACACACACACACAACACACACACACACACACATTCTTCCTCACCTTCTTCTCCTCGTAGAAGTTGTAATAGATGAAAAGGATGCCGTCCTTGTTGCCCTCTGGCCCTGAGAACTGCTCTAAGGCAAATGAACGTCTATCCACTTGTGCGGCTTCCAGTCTCTCCACCACTGCATGGTTCCCTTCTTCACCCACACAGACTGTGATGAAGGTCGAGGTCGCGAATGAGACGAGGAGGAAAGAGAAAACACAACCACATAAAGACGATATGACACGGGACTGTGAGGGGGAAAGGGGATCAAGTTCAGAAGTTTGCTGCAGGGCAGGGTAGGTCATAACCACACGTACCTGTTCTATGGCTTGTTCAATAATGTCGGAAATTATCCATCTCTCTCTTGGTCCTCTCACTGAGTGTTCAAAGATTTGTCTCCGCCAGGCTGCCGTCTGGGCTGGGGTTACAGACAGACTCATGGACTGGACTGACTGGATCAGAGCTGGAGGAAGAAAGGTAGATAAAAAAGAAAAAAATCAATTGGGGTTTCCTGCAGGCATGAGATGGAAATATAAGCATGGTATCGTTCTGCGTTCTGAGGCTCTATCCCCTCAATTCAATGAGATGCTCAGTTATGTCACTGAACTCACATGACGTGTTCATTGAGCAGTTGAACCAGTTGAGCTGGGAGTGACTGTCCACGGAGCAGCCTCCTCCACTGACCCACGCCCAACGCGGATGCTCATCTGCCCCATACGGGTCCTCTACGGCAAGAGTGTACGTCGCAACCGATGACAAGCTGCAAGTATCGGCTGATTCCAGCACTGCTCCGGTCTGGGCCTGCTGGACCTGTACCTCCTCCAGGTCCACGTTACTCCACTGGGGTCAAGAGGACCTCCAGACTGGCTGGGGGTGAGAGCGACATCAGTACAGGGAGCTTTGACCTCTCCTTCTCCAGATACGGTCTCCTCCTCCAGAACAGCGGGAGCTGCGATCGACATCTCTTAAGGTCTTTGCAGGTTCTCGATCAGACACGAGTTCGGAGATGAAGCTGTCGCTGGTGACTTTGGGATGCGGGGTTTGGGGACGTCGGAGGGCTGGTCAGACGTGTGATCTGTGGGGGCATCAACAAAGGACTCGGGGGACTCAGAGGTGGCAAAGCAGGGGCTGCATCTGCAGATCCTTTCTCCGTGTCTGATTCCACATCACTCACTACTGACTGACAGCACCTCACCACAGAAGTAACATCCAGCACTATGAAAGAGAAGAGAAACTGAATGAATTTATGATGATGGCATGCGCTGAAGATTAAAGCAGTTTCCTGCATCTTTCAGTGAAATTTGGAGATTCATTATATCGGTTCAAGCATATTTTCCGAGAGTTTGCGCATTAATTTTAATCAAGTCATGGGTATTATACCCAAAGATTATTTTGTGTGTGTGTGTGTGTTCACCTCTGCAGGCTGGTTGCGCTGGCACTGGAGTGGATCGATCTCCATCTCGGGGAATTTGATAACCTTCCAAGTTTTCCCACTGAGCTCACTGGAGGTCACACCTTGTCTGAAGTACACCGCGCGGTCCTCACAGCCGATACCCCACACCTACACACAACAGCAACAGGTTGTGACTCCATGCCATGAAAGCCGCGCGGCAATGCTAGGTAACCAGAAGAGAGAAGGTACTGGATATGTTAAATCACCTGATCATTGAGTCCGACGTTGATCATGATCATTTCTCCAACCATGCTGATCCAGCCAGAGCCACAGGGATTGTGGAGTTTACACCACGTCTGAACCACACCTGGAGAAACAAGAGTGTGGGAAGAAAATAGCTCTTTATCGTAACACACACCTGCTCCAACACTATTGTTACCAATTTAGCTGTAGTGTCTTTACTAATGCAGTTTTCTTGTTTAGGAAATTGTCTCAGTCAAATTAAATCAACAATCAACTCGACAAAAACATTTTAAGCTACACCCATCAGTATTTTTGTTGACCGTGGGCTGTAGTATTCTACCAGGAGGTGGTTTTATTTTGTCCAGTCTCTTTAATTTATTTGTTACTGTACACATGTACAATTTTTACACATATGCTTCTAAATTACTAGCTTCATTGTACATTACATGATGACTGAGCGACGGGCAGTGTGCAGCTTGTCGGCTGATAGCAGTCTGTATATGTGTTGTTGTTGTATTGTGTGTGTGTGTGTGTTGTTGTGTGTGTGTGCACGTATCTGCAGCTGAAGAAGCTGCTGGAGTGGGAGGTGTGGCACATTAACAATATGTTTTGCTAATTGTGTAATAATTAACCATAAAGTATATTTTCCAACTGACCCTATTGTCTCTATTGACTCTCACACACACACACTG